ATTCACTTATTTCTTGTTCGTCAAGGCATTCGTTCTCGAAATCTTTAACGTCAATGTCACTCAAATCATTAATGTCTGAAGGATTGGCTTCTAAAAGTTTGGATTTTTTTCTTGCTATTGGATCCAAGTTCGTCGTTTGCTTTTTGTTTTTACGTCTCTCATAGCATTTATTACAAGTTGCGTGCTCATAGGTTAAATTATTTCTTTGGTTACGGATGTAATCCGATATTTCTTTTACGGAATGGCAGCCGGTACATGCTTTTTTCATTAATGATTAAGATCTATTAAAAAGGTAAGATGTGTTTTTATTTATGAAAATTTGTATTAAGCGGTATTAAAAAAAAAACCTTCGCTCATCTCGTATCTTATATAAATCTTAAGGTTAACATGGCGCGTTTCTGTTTCCTATATTTTAAGGATGGTGGTGTTACCATTATTGGTATATAATACGATAATCAGATTTCGATCTAGCTATACTCACCTTAATTCGGTTCACGCTGTTTCACATTGAAATGGACCATATTATTTTTCATCTTTTACTTGGTAAGCTTCGTAATATTTTATTTGCCTAAGGTACCGATGACATAATGAAAACTTATACGAATATTTAAAAAAAATCTTTTATAGATGTTGCGATCCGTTCTACACACTATGGTAGTTATGTAATTCGTTTTAGATTGATGGTCTATTCAAACCTTCGAGTAACTTTTCGATTCCTTTATCGTTCGGTAAGTTCAAGTTTTAGTTATTTATATTCGTTTGGTAAGGTCTAGCTATTTATAAATTATCTACGCTATTATCTAAGGTAACTTAATCTCCGTTTATTATTGGTAGGCTTTTATTTATATCTTATCACGCAAATATTAATTAAATGACCATAATTTTAATAGTTTTAGTTTATTAAATATCATTCTTAAAATGTAGAGATATAATCATAATTCGTAATTCGTAAAATATAATCATAATTTTATAAAGATGTAATTACAGTTTTTTAAATAAAATACTAAATAATTACTATCGTTATTACATGTAAAAAAAAATAAATACTATTTTTATTACATTTAAGTTTCGTGTTAAGTTAATTTAAATAATTAAATGATGTAATTAAATAATAACTATTCTTTAAGTTTTTAAAGAGAACTTTAAAACCGTATATTATCGGGTCAGAGTGGTCGGAAGTCACGTGACCCGACACCTCGTTTTTGCCATGGCTAGGGTACTATTAAAGAACTCACAAATATATTGATTAGCAGCATTACACTGTACTCTTTTTGAAGATATAGTTCTTGCTGGTAAACAAGCTATAAGACTGAAAACAGCTCCTTTTATCCTCAAATAAAACATCTTGGATAGCAAATCAAAAGTGTCATTGGAATTAGTGTTGACTCCTTAATGACAAAAAGTCAGATGGTATTTCTCATATAGCTAAAAGATACAGGCTAACAAAGCATAACAATAATGTTGACATGGCAAAACACATAATCACGAATGGAAATAAAGACCAATATTCTTCACTATTCTTTATGAACTTTACTTGTGACACAATATCCAATCTTTTTTTGATTTGGAGTTGAATACCTTATAACTGAACTTCATTTGATTATAATAGATAGCAACAATGACACTTCATTTAAAACAAGAAGCAAATGGCCAATTTTAATTAGAGATTTTTTAGACTAGATAAAGATCAACAAGAAGGCATAAGAAGTATAGGCCGATTACAAATTAATATAGTAATCACAATAGTATACAAACAGGTTTTTTCTTTAGAACAATAAGTAGTTTTTTTCCCTTTGTAGTTTCACAAATATGTCTTGCAGGTTTTAAAGAGTTTTTCTATAGATTATTATAGATAATCACATATAAACATACACACATATCCTATTTTTAATTTTTTTAAAAAATTTTTTAGATTTAGTTAGAACCAATAGAATATAACTAGTCTCCAGCTGACTATGTTCAGATAGTCTTTTAAGTTTCTGTTCATCGAATGGCAAATGGGAACTTAGAGGCATATATCTTGGCAAGTTAGTTCTTCACTTATGCTATTAGGGCCCCAGCATTAATAATATAAAAGGCATGGAGGGCAACAAGCGACCAGTAGATAGCTTGCTATTTTAGGTAATTTAGGGAATAGATAAAGTCCGACTTTGTTGTAAAATGTAAGAGCATTTAATACAATATTCAATAAATAAGGTGTATGTCAGTCGTTAAAAAAAAAAAATAGATATTTTTTATTTTATTTTTTTTATTATATTTAATAATATCATTTAGAGCTTCAAAAAGTATCAAATTAATATTAAACTGATATCAAAATAATATCAATTTATAATAAATTTAAGTATTGAACTAATATCAAAATAATATTGAAATAATATTATTAAAAGTACTTGTATTATTAAATTTATTATTATATAAAACAAAATATATAGAGATTATATATTTTGTTTATATTTGTTATATATAAATTAATCAGTTCAAATTTTAAATTAATTATTATTTAAGAGTTTTGATATAACTAAAAATTTAAAATTAAATTAGAATAGACAAAATTATATAAAAAAATAGAAAAAAATTTATGCATTTAAGAAAATAGAAAAAAAATTAGAGAAAAATAAAAAAAATTATAAAAATTTTATAACTATCTTTTATAAAATCTTAAATTTTTAAAAAAAAAAAAAAGAATATTTTTTCTACAAGTTTATTTTTCTAATAAAATATTTTTTATATTTAATTTTGTAAATAAAAATTTTTTTATATTTATTTATAAAAATATAAAAAGTTTATTTTAAAGAAAAAAAACAAGTAAAAAAGATTATTGATAGAAAAAGTTTATTAGAAAAAATTTATATATTTAAAAATATATAAAAAAAACTTATAAAAAATAAAAAAATTTTTAAAAATTAAATATTATTTTTTTTTAAAGTTTTGAATTTTTAACAAAAAAAAAAAAAAGTATTTTTAATATTCTTTTTTTTAGTAAAATATTTTTGTTTTTTATTTTATAAATAAATTATTTTTTATTTTATAAATAAATTATTTTTTATTTTATAAATAAATTATTTTTTATTTATTAATAAAAATATATTATATATATTATATATGGTAACTTATTAAACCTGTGGATCTATAGTGTAGTGGTTAACACTCCACAGATCAAATCACAAGATACCAGTTCAACCCCATGTGAGGGCAGTTGAATAGAAATTAATATAGTATCTGGTGCCATAACCTATATAAGTGCTATTTCTCATAAGAAGCCATTTCATATGCTGATTCAAATGAGTATTGAGATTGTGATTTCCAGAAAAGACATTGTGGCGTGATGATCGTCCAGTTGGTTTTACGATAATCGCCAGAAGTTATAAGAAGTATGAGGTGTCCACTTTCAGTAAAGATGGCTTGATAATCATTTCCCTATAGTACCTGATATCTCTTCTTACAGAATAGCTGGAAAGGTCATATTTCAATTCAATAATAAATCACTCTGACAGTTACTTATCCCAAGAAGGCGGCCCAGCAGTAAAATTGCTAGGTAACCTTGTGGATACCTAAATGGACAATAAGCCTGATGACATAAGTTCCTTGGACATTTTTGAGTAGCTTGAGTGGAGGTGGAAATTAAATGGAAAATGGTACATCTAGCTGCAGGTGGTTGGATCTGAAAAGATTAAATTGTAATGTTCTATTTGCCAAATATAGGTACTACTCCCAGTGTCCCAAAAATTTCAAATTCCCCTTAATTTTGCACAGTGTCAAATAGAATATCTAGTTACACCGATAGGATGTATTGCAGTAAGACTTGAGTCAGCAATACATATATAGGTAGGCTGCATCCGGATAGTATACCTGTGGGTAAATTTTAATTGAGGGATTGTAAGTGTAGACAGAAATATACAATGTATATTGTTTACAGCACAATTAATAAATTAGAGTAAAGCTTACTTACAATACTTTTTTAAAAAAAAAAATATGGTAACTTATTTTGTTATTGAATTAATTTTAAAATTATTTAGTATATAAAATTTAAGAATCTAATTATATCAAATAATTGTATTGATTGTATCAAGAATCTACAAATTTCAATAACATGTATAATATATAGACATTATTATAAAATTTTATTAAAACATCTGTTTTTTGAATTGACAAGAGAATCAGCAAAAAAAGTTAAGTTTGAATATGTTTGAAAATTATTTTCAAAATAAAAAAGCAAAGAAATAGCACTTGACTAATTGAAATTCAATAAATAAAAATGTTATTAATGATGGGAAAATTAAAAATTTAAACAAAGTTAAATCTTCTGTGTAATCAAGATATGCATTTCAAAAATAATAGTTGTATCAAAAGATTGAAGTTTAGCTGAATCGAATATTTTTTTACTGTTATAGGAACGTTACCATCCTACTATGTATTAATATTAATAGACGGTTTAGAGAATTCATTAGGCATAGTAATTTTTTTTTTTCAAAATAAAATTTAATACAAAATTGATTTTTATAATTTTTATTTGCTAAATTAGTCCTAAAAGTACAATTTATATCCGATAAAACCCGCTTAATGTATTTTTTGATAAAATTATTAATACAATATTCATTACAACATGAGGGAGAAATTCTTCAATGGAAAAATCGGCACCCTCCATATTGAATGATCTAACTTTTTTCAAAAAGTCCAAGATATGATATTATGAATTCTTATTGTTATTTTGTTCATTTTCTTTATCTTCTTTTTCCGAATAATCAGCATTATACTCGCTCATTCTCGATGGCGTAGCACTCGATGCGCTCATGCCTCCTACAGATTCCCTAAATTGTACCATTCGTATTCTTTCTGCTTCAAGTACCTCTAAGAAATCTCCAGAGACACCAACCTCCGGTAAACTCCTACGACGTAAAGTATCTGTTCCAGTATCTCTCTTACTCGTAGAATTAAGAGAATCAGGATTGGTTTTGCGACGACGTAGGGGTGGTGCCATGATCCGTCCGGTGCCTTCCTCCTGTGAAAAAGCGTAACCTCTCACGAGTTCAGTCAATCCCGTTTGCATGAATGTCATGCTACCCGGCGTTTCTGGTACCTCATTGTTTACATTCAATTGATAATCCGTTGATATTCGAGCTAGTGACGGTAATATAATTTGCTGAGGTTGCTGAGCCATTCGATCGACCGTGAGGCTGGTACGCGGTGATTCGGTGCGAGGGATGGTGAAGGTGGTTTCCAACGTTTCATAACGCGAATATTTTGAATCACGTGTTAGTTGTCTAGTAAGACCCAGGCTTGGATTAACCAAGATGTCGTGAATAAAATCATGGTGTGGGTCCTTCTTGCATATTTCTTGTATAATGTCAACATCCGTAGGGAAATAATTTCTTTGAAAGAATTTCCACAGATATCTCGGAAGCATGCATAGCAATATGATAATGAAAAGGCAAAACCAAAATACTCCCGAGGCGTATATTACCTCGTAATAACCATAAACATCTACCATTGGTATTAAACTATAAATCGAAATGTAAATAAATATCAACGCGGTAGATCCAAACACGGATATATAGTGAAACACTGTCCAGCATTGGGAATTGAATCCTGTAAAGAAATTGGCCATCGCAATACACGCGACGGCCATCGTTGTACCTAATTCGAGGTAATCTGGTTGGCGTCCGTGGTTGTTGGAACTCACATTTCCATAAGCAAGATACGGAACGAAGAAGCATACTAATGATTGATATATGCCTTCCATCATAAAAACGAAAAACATAGGCATAGTGTATGCTTTTTGCTTAATTCCCATTTGATACAATTCTGGAACTTCGGTTGCTACTCTATCAGGCACATCTCGATCAAATAGCCCTATGGATAGGACGGCGATACAAGTGAAAAATAAATTCCAAAATAAAAGATATGTGTACTCGAATATGATTGTTGTAGAGTAACCACAATAGAATTGGAACCAAAATAGAACGCCCACACCGATCATGTTTTTGTAAAAGAAGTTGAGAATCATGGAAGAATTCCGAATGTAGGAATAATGTCCATGAACCAATAGGAGCCTAGTAAGATATTTAAATTGAGCTATGGCATAATCAGATGCCATCACAGCTTGTAACCCTTCCTCCCCGGCGACACCAATGCCAATATGCGCAGCCTAAGAAACGGTTGGTTAGAAGACGGTAATTACTTTTAAGGTAAATGATCAACTATATGCATACCTGTATCATGCTAACATCGTTAGCACCATCCCCGATTGCGCATGTGAGAACTTCCTTTCCTTTCTTAACCAACTCTACGACTTTGGCTTTTTGCAGAGGTGAAACTCGACAACAAATGACTCCCTTGCACCGACAAGCCAGATCCAAAAATAAATTACGACTCCACGGTTCTTCTAACGCGTACTTGAGTGCAACACCATCTATGACCAACGCATGATCACCATACTTTTTACTTGACATACCAGAATAAACGGAAGACGCACCAAAACTCATTTCCCGTGCATGTGATGTAGAAGGTCGGGGTGCGTTATTAAATGAAGTGACAGGAGGCGCCTGTACTGATTTCATACTTTCCAGAATTTCTTGGTCGGTGGGAAAGAACTTTTCCACCGCACTTCGCATTTGATCATAGGCGCTACCTGTTTCTCCGTATGCACCTCCGCGAATGATAATAAGGTTCATATCCCTGGCCAACAGACAGGTAGAGAAACCAATGCTAATAGCTGTCTCCATTTTGTCCCCTGTCAAGACCCAAATTTTAATTCCAGCACGTTTTAGGGTGGCTATACACTCAGGCACTCCATCTTGTAAGCGGTCTTCAATTGCAGTTGCACCGAGAAGAGTTAAGTCCTTTTCAATCTGGTCGGAAACGACGGCAACCCTCTGATCGCGGTCTGTAAGTGCCGTTGAAGCTTCACGAAACTCGATGTCCCATTTTTTATATACCTCGGGGGTAATATCAGCATAACCTATACAGAGTGTTCTAAGACCTAAATCACGAAAAAAAAGTGAATACGCGAAAGGTTGGAAGCATTCAAGGAAACGGTTCATAAGAAAAATAACCTACCCTCTCTAGCGAATTCCTGTAAGTTTTCGCCCGTGACATTCGTCAAATTATCTTGTCCACTCTTAAGCCTTTCAAAAATGACGTTGTCTGCTCCCTTACAAAATAAAATGATACGTCCATCCGTAGGTGATCGTACGATAATACTCATCCTCTTTCTCGTACTTGTAAACTCCAGAATATTCAACAACTCGAATCGAACTTCTTCACCTTCCGGTGTGGTTATAACGATATGATCATTCTCGCGGGAACGAAAGGTGTAACCGACGTCCTTTGCAGCTTGCACGAGTGCCGCTTCGTCTGGAGACTGTGCTTTGTAGACCTGTTCACCGTCAGCATTGGTGTTTACAAGAACGGTATGACATATGGCCAGCAGTGTGAAAAAATCTCTGATGGCACCAGATCGGTTTTGGTCTGTGGATTGCATATCTAGAGAAAGCTCCCTGTCGAAAAAAGGTTTCTTTGTGTGCTTACCGGATTTCTTAAGGTCATTATCAGGTAATTCTGGAAGTAGTTGAGATGCTCGGTTAATTATTGAAAATTCCAATTTTATATATGTTGATAATGCATTATCACCTTTGTCGTCATTCTCTGAATAACTTCCGTAAATTTTCCCACCAATTGAGCATTTACGAAATTCCATCACGTTACGAGTTAGAGTACCGGTTTTATCGGAGAATATATATTCCACCTGACCTAATGTTAACGATAACGTGCGTTGAAATGTGTAGAATCTGTAGATGATATAAGCATGAATTATCGAGTATCGCAAAGTTTACCTAAATCATCGGATAGATTCCAATTCTTTGGAATACAAGGGGTATCAGTTTCGGCATAGCGAATCTCTTCGTCCATAAAAATGAAGAATGCCTAAAATAACACGAGGAAAAATTATCCAATCGGTACACGATAATAAATATCAGGGTGATGATGGAGGCGTTAAGTAATCCATTATGTAGGCATACTTGAACACTCTTGACAAACTCGATCGACAGATACAGAGAAATAGGGACGATATTTTGGAAAGTGATTAACGCATTCCTATTAAATGAAATTTGGACATTCGGTCAGGGTGCCATTCAAAAAGAAACAAACGATTGATTGTATGTGATATACCAGAATGTATCAAAGGCGTCAAGATCAACATTTTCAAATTTGAGGTAAGAAATATAATCATGGAATTTTGTTGCCCATATCTTGCTTCCAATTGAACACCAAAGGCAAAACATTATCAGAAGTAACAGGTTGACAAGGCTTAAAAAAAAAAAAGGAAAATTTGTGAGCGAAACATATGATATGACTATTGCAGTTAATGAAATGGAAAGGAAAAGAGAGACAACGCGTACACTTGAGGATTCATTAATTTTTCAATGCGACTCCTTTTTGATGGCGTTTTACCAGAGTTTAACGAAAGCTTTGTGTCAGCGCCGGTGAACACAACTAACCCAATTACCCATTCTGTATTTTTCAACACACAACCTCTCAGGAGCATCGAATTAAGATTAACCGGAATCTTTTTCAACCCTCTGCGAGCGCCTGAACGATTAGGCAGGCCGTGAGGAAAAACTACGGTGGCGTTATAACTAAATAAGCTTGTTGTCGGTTGCTCCGAATCTACATAAAAATGAACGGATGTACAATCTTTTGGCGTCGTTAAGTAGTCGATTTCCGATATGCCGGTTCGTATCTTGAGATTTGTTTCGCCGTCCAGATTCTTGGTCTCCACGTAACAAAGAGAATTCGGTTCCGAGGTTGAAAGGATGAGAATATCTGTCAAGAGACAGCAAAATGATTAAGCATGACGGTACATCAGATAAATTTGATCTTGTTAATCAACGAAAGCTTGAGTGACTGAGAAGTACAGAAACGCAAGATAATTTTTTTTTAGGACGAATTAATTCCTCACCAGCTGGGATGAAATCATCATTATATAACTTGATAAAGTCACCAACACGAACATCCTTGAACATGGTTTGTTGCCAATCCACACCATTACTTTTTGGCTTTTTCACAGTCGATTTGTTAAATCTATTAAATATATTGAAAAAGCTGGAGACTCTATCAGGATAGTTGACATTTGACCAATTCCCAAGGGTCCAAGTCTTTCGATTGTTTACAGATCTATCGGTCACATGCCGTTTGAAGTCTTCAAATCCATCTTTTATGGTTGTTATACCCATTATTATGAACATCGGCAGGGCTGACACCACGGGGTTAATGGTGGCAAATTCCGGAAACCATTGTAATATGACCAGCAGCAAAAAGAAAAAGTTTGCAACACGACGAAATTGTTCATACAAGTTTTTCGGTATAAAGGTCAAAAGAGTATATTTAGAAGTTGTGACTTTATTTGTAGTGTAGGTTTGCTTAGGATTTCCTTTTTTGTCTAGTTGACTGGGTGGCAAAGGCTCGTTGACGAATACTTGACGTGCAAGTAAAACTGGTTTACGTGGCTTCCAGAACTTGAGACGTTCGAACATTTTTCTACCCTCCAACAAGTCTACCAGTTGCCAACTGTTGAGCTGTGGACGAGGGCAATGTCTGCATCAATTTATGTTTTGGGGATCACCCATATCGGTAAATGAAATCCCTTAAAAAGCTAAATTTGGCAAGTGCGTATAAGTAATCTCCTCTCTATTTTAAGCTGCATTTATATAAGGAATTTGTTTACTAAGTGTACACGATCAACGTCATAATTCGAGGCATGTCAAAAAAAAAACCATGACACTCGTGTAACCCCGTACATCTACACACACAACCCTTGTAATGAATGAAATTTTGTTCTAGGGTGTCAATGCGTATGCACTTCAAAAAGTGACGATATTAAATAATATTGAGCTTTTATATCTTTCGTAAAGCCTCTAAACCTTTATTTCCAGCAGAAAAAGTTCTTTCGCAAAAATTGAAGCAAATTAATCCTCACCGGTCATAATTTTCTATATGTCAACCCTTTCAAAATCTAATCGACGCGTATCTTATTTTTATGATGGTAACGTATGGCACCTTTCTTTTTGCCCAGTTAACAAATTCAATGAGCAGACTTATCCAATTTTTTTGACCTTTCTTGTATAGAGGATATCGGGAACTACACGTACGGGCAAGGTATGAAACTGCACAAATCAAATTTGTCATCTCACACTCGCGTTTTTACCTGCTGCCAAGTTCACGAGATTGCACCTTTCGACCAGGTCACCCGATGAAACCGCATAGAATGCGTATGGTTCATGACCTAGTTGTGAATTATAATTTATTTAAAAAAATGGAAATTCTTGTATCCTTTTTTATTTTTTTCCCACCATTTACCCATCTGTCATTTCACAAATTTGTGTAAAATTTATTCTTTATTCAGGAATCGTCGCGTATGATGCTAATTCTAGACCCCACAACGAGCAACATTTAGACAAATGACGCGGTTTCACACTGACGAGTACATTCATTTTTTGGAGAGAGTCACACCCTTAAATGTTGAAGAATTGTCACAACAGCAAACAAGATGTAGGATTATTGCATTTCCGCTGACTTCTGTTGTCCTTGTGGAGTCTAACGAATGAAATTATCCAAACAACAGTCAACGTCGGCGAAGACTGTCCAATTTTTGAGGGACTATTCGAATTTTGCTCGATCTCGGCGGGCGGATCGATCGGTTTGTATATCGTCAAACTAAAAATCGTTAATATTTTCGCATTGTTTGTGGGTCATCACACCAAACTGAATTGTGAATGACAGATGCTGCGAATAAATTGACAAGCGGAGAATCCGATATAGCCATAAATTGGTCTGGGGGACTTCATCATGCCAAAAGGTTTGAGGCATCTGGATTTTGCTACGTGAATGATATCGTGTTGGCTATTCTTGAACTGTTAAGGTAAACTGAACTGTTCGATTTAGTCTCCGTTTGATTATTATCATTAATATGTCACTAAATTTTTTGCACAAAAGGTATCATCAACGCGTTCTCTACGTAGACATCGATATACACCATGGAGATGGCGTGGAAGAAGCCTTTTATTCTACCGATAGAGTTCTCACCTGTTCGTTTCACAAGTTTGGACAATTCTTCCCAGGCACTGGAGATGTTTCGGTACGAATCTTTTCACCTTTTTATTCTGTCACCAGTTCCACGTTCTATTAATAATATCGTGAAAACAACAGGACATTGGCATCGGGAAAGGGAAACATTATGCAGTAAATTTTCCCCTGAAAGATGGCATGGACGACGAGAACTATCGAGACGTATTTCGACCGGTATGAAATATTTCTTTTTTTACTCGAACCCGCGAAATACGTTCACGTCATTTCCTTAGTGTACTCTTTACGAAAGTAAATAGGTCGTAAAACATATAATCGAGTGGTATAGGCCGGGAGCAATAGTTCTTCAATGTGGGGCGGATTCGCTTGCCGGTGATCGATTAGGTTGTTTCAACCTTTCGATGAAAGGTCATGCTGCTTGCGTAGACTTTGTAAAGGATTTCAACATTCCTCTCCTGGTCGTTGGTGGAGGTGGCTACACGATTCGCAACGTGGCCCGTGCTTGGACATATGAAACTGGTTTATTATTGGGAGAAGCATTGAATGAAGGTAAATTTCCTCGGCTATTCTATCTTCATTCTGTTTGGGTCTGATTACTTTGACTTTGGTAATATAATAGATCTACCGTATAACAACTATCTGGAATATTATGGACCACACTTCAAGTTGGAGGTTCCAGCCAATAACATGGAAAATATGAACACTTCGTCTTATTTGAATGATATGAAGTAAGTTTGCCTTTTATTGAAGGTAAATATCTTTATGTAGTGTATATTAGGTAATTATATCACATCTTCGTCATAACAAATAGGGCGAAGGTTTTTGAAAATTTGCGTTGCATTCCGTTCGCACCAAGTGTACAGATGCATCGTAAGTTCTTGATGTTGTTTGGTTTTACTTTGTTAAATGCTATTATCATTTTACGCATGGTTTCACGTGCAAATTACAGAGGTACCATACAACGATGATTCAGACGAATCCGATAATGACGACGATCCGGATATAAGAATCTCACGTAAGCATACGAAACAATGAAACTTCATCATCACTTAATGCATGTGACCATGTGTCAATAAACATATATATTTAGAACGACAACGAAACGCACGCGTCGTACCCGAAAATGAACTTTCCGATTCCGACGATGAAGGCGGAAGACGAAATGATAGAAACTATAATGTTGCTAATGGAAACGGAAAGAATGGAGAGTTTACAACACGTAAATTTCGAACAACCGGTAAAACGCTGTACAATGAAACTGATAGTCGCGGCGGTTCATCCTCGCGTCCCAGTAAAATAGCTAGCGGTCAAGGGCGCGGTAAATCAACAAGATCCACTCTAATAACAGACGATGTGCTTAACACTACGGTGACCAGAAACGTTCCGGCAGACACGCCCTCGATAATGGCACCTTCGAGAAGTTCATCTCGACCACCGGCCGATATCATACAGGAAGAACAAGCGGCAACAGTCCCGCCCGAAAATCCAACGAATCATCCAGAAACTCCTCAGATTCGTAGTGAAAATGATACGGCCAATGTCGAAAATGAGACGGATGCTATGGACGTGGATACCATAGAAGCCGAACAAGTAGTGAAAACCGAAGAAGTTTGATTGCAAAATAAATTTGAATTTTAAAGTTTTTATGTTTGCGACATATTCAACTTGGCATTTTTTTTGTTTTATGCTTATTCTTATGTTGCATTCTGATTAAAACTATTTAAACAGGTAAAATACTGCGTTATCACGATTAAAAAAGTGCAAATTGAGTACAATTTATCAACGTCTCGCAATGGCCTAAAATATAGTTGTAAATGAAATAATAGGTTAGATGATTTAATGACATGTAAACTTGAATCGTGAAAAAAAATTATTTTTTTTTTTCTAACCTTTCTCACATTCAAGGCCTCAACTTTTTTCCCTACAATATTATTTAATATATTTATGCTGGTTTCTTTTTCTTTTTTTACATCTCCGACATTTGGTTCAAACTTTAAATCCAGTGTATTAAAGGGAAACAACATATAAAGTTATTAGTTAAATCTTAAATTAAATATTCGTGATTAGTGAATAATTTGATTGTATTTACCTTTCCCTTCTTGCCCTTCATTTTTGAATCGCCATCCAAGGGTTTATCGAACCTTCCATAGCTGGCTGTCGCAGTTTTAGATGTGACGATTTGTTGCTGCAATTCCAGTTTACGAGCTGTACGGGCGTCCGATTTATTGTTTGACGGTTGTAGAGTTGTCTGTGCCTCCTCAACATTTCTGCGATGGCGTTTTTCATTCTTTAAAATTCGTTCTCTTTTCGCTTCGCGCATTTTAGCAAATTGATCTTCGTATGGATCTATTAGGCAAAAACTAATGGTCAGCCAAATTCAAGCATGAAAAGTAAGAATCTGAAATATGACTTACCCGAATTATCTGGAACAGGTATTAACCAATCATTCGCGCCATCATCATTTACTCCTTTGTATCCCCATCGTGAAACCCATTCGCCAGAAGCCTCGTCGAAAATCTTTCTGTCCTTTCTCCGGTGCTGAATTCCTTTTGCTTTTGCGAATTTCTCCCACCTTGTCAAAGGTTTAGATTTTGGCAGCTTTGATTTGTAAAAATGTATTAATTTTATGAATAAAAATTAATCATCTTGTGTAGACAAAAAGCTTACAGGTTTCTCCCTGGGAATAGCGGTGACCGGATCGGGTAATTCTATAAGTAATCCAACATTTTGCGAAGAATCCACTGGTAATTTAAATAATTGATTGATCAAGAGTTGCGTGTTATCCCTCGTACATTTTTTCAAATAGGTATTTTCATCCTTTCTACGAATTAATTTTATTTATTTAATGTTAGAATGCTTTTAAGAATTCGGTCGCAAAGACTTACTTCAATTCCGCTTCGTCTACAGCATTTGTATCGAAAGCGGCCAGTAGCCCAAGATCGAACTGCAGAGGAATTGGTTTTTCGACATTTATCGATGGACTAGTAAATTTTAAAGAATTCCATAAATCGAAATTTTATTATTCATCAGTATAGTTGATTAAATTACTCACTATTTTGATTTTTGTGCTTCGAGATTTGCTGAAACGTCCATCTTCAACTTTGTGGGGATGTAATTTCTTTTTTTTTTTTAGGTTGTATTAAAGTCACGTGGAAAAGCGCCTCAATATCTATATTTAGAATTTAGAATTTACGAAAAAACTGTACTTTATCCACGCGAAATATGATAACTACTTAAGTGATGGCTGCCCAGAACGTCGGCTCATCTTACCCACCACCACCTCAAATATATAAAAGGTACACCGATGAGAACCTCGCCAAACTGAAACAGGTCAATGAGCAGGGAGTTGAAGCCGTTACACGTGCGGGTGTGTCTTTACCAAGTGATTTCAATATATTTGATCTCGAACCCCCACAACCGCTTACTGAGGGCAATTATTCACTCTTTGGAGATTCAAATTGGATGGTACCTTCTTCTAAAAATCATCTTATGTATTTTCTTTTTACTTTTACTTAATAAATTTGTTAACGTTTGCGCCTGTTTTTTTTTAGGTCGTTGATCGAAACCCTACTCTTGAAGAAAATAACGTACCACAATTATTTCCATCAGGCGAAATAGGTTAGACTTTTTTCATAATTTAATGCTTTATCTATCATTATTGCCTACATCACCAAAATAGTAATACAGTATAAATTGAACATATTTATCAGATCGCGTTTTTTTTCTAAAAAAATTGAACAATTCCGCAGTCTTTAATTTTGTTGAATTACTCGACACTCTAGTCAGGGAGCCTGATCAGGTATACGATCATTCAAATATGTATTTATTTAATTACTTATGAGAGCACGTTAATTACCGATTTTTTTAGGCTCCAGAGAAAATCGAACAAATCAAACATATAATCTTAAATATGAAGTATTTGTTAAACGAATATCGGCCCCATCAGGTATTCTACGCGTTGTCCTTAATTAAAATATTGTTTGTGCTAATAATCTTTTCTTGATCTACAGGCAAGAGAAACTCTGAATTTGATAATGAAGGAACAAATAGAACAAAGAAAACGAGCAACAAACGAAGTCAATATGTATGTTTCTAGCCTCAAATAAAAAAAATTAAAATAAAATAAACGCGATTTGTTCTTTCATTGATCGTATATATATACCTATATATATATTGAGATCTTAGGCGTTGTTCCGAATTAAGACAAATGCTGCAAAATGTGAAGGGCATGTGGAAAAATATGGATGATGTTAACATGGATTTGGTACGTATTTTGTTTGAAAATTGACGCAGGCGGTGTGCTATTTATCTAACGTTAATGTTTAATTGCAGGACACGGAACAAGAACAAAGATCGAGTCACTCGCATCTAAACGATGGAGGTTCTTTTTCATCATATTACGTTGATTCTGATGCTACACAAAAGATGTTAAAAATGATTGATGAAATTGAATGAGAAAATTCCAGTCAATTGTTATGAAAGACATTCGGTCATTTCTTTGCATAAGATAAGTTAGATTTTGAAGTAAATTGTATCCTTGTAGGCAAAGGTAAGAACTAAAAGTTTGAATGAAATCTTCCTTCTTTATTTTGTTGTTTTTATATGTACTGTGTTGTCATTTTGAGTTTTACAGGAATCATTATAATAATAAAATGCTATACATATACATATATAGTAATATAGTGTTATATACAGCATGGATTAAAAATAATTGGAAAAAATCAAAACTCATATTTTATTCATAATTTAATAAATAATTAAATAATTAAAATAAAAAAAATATGGGTATATTTGAAGATATAAAGAATAGAAATATATAAAAAAATTTATTTAAATATATTAAAATAATATAATTAAATTACAATTAAAAAG